ACCTTCTACAACTGATACTCCATTAACATTAATCTATTATCAACTACATCTCTCCAATCACCACAAACTATTCCTTCAGACAAGGTTATTCCCATCTGCTCTATTGAGGTTGATCCGTGTCCATCTCAGTATGCTGATAAAACTGAAACATCAGATTCTGTTCTTAATGTGCACCCCATGATGACAAGAGCAAAAACAAAGAGCAAAGCATCTTGTCCTACAGTTTTTACAGTTGTTAGTTCTCCTGTGACTGAACCAGCATCAGTTTCTAAAGCTCTTAGCTTGCTAGAATGGAAACAAGCCATGCAAATTGAATATGATGCTTTAATTGCCAATAATACCTGGACTCTTGTTCCTTTTACCTCAGATATGCATGTTGTGGGAAATAAATGGGTTTTTAGAGTAAAATATCATGCTGATGGCACCTTACAAAAGTATAAAGCAAGATTAGTTGCAAAGGGTTTCCAACAAACTGCGGGATTGGATTATTTTGAGACTTTTAGTCCAGTCATAAAACCCTCAACCATTAGGATTATTTTTACCCTTGCTGCCACATACAATTGGGATATACAACAAGTGGATGTCAATAATGCTTTCTTGAATGGTGAGCTTAATGAAGTTGTATATAGGGAACAACCTTCTGGTTTTGTTGATCAACATAGAGTTTCTCATGTTTGCAAGCTGAATAAGGCTTGTATGGTCTTAAACAAGCTCATAGAGCCTAGTTTGACAAGTTAAAAGCAGCTCTGATCAGTAAAGGTTTTCATAATTCAGTATCTAATTCCAGTCTCTTTGTGCATAAGGAAAATCATCAGGTTACATATGTCTTAATATATGTTGATGATATTCTTCTTACTGGATCAAACATTGATTTTGTTCATCAATTGGTGAAAGAGCTGAATGATAACTTTGCTTTGAAAACACTTGGTTCCTTACATTACTTCCTGGGTCTTGAGGTCACTAGAAATGCAACTGGGATTCATTTAAAGCAAACTAAATACGCTACTGATTTGTTGCTTAAAACCAAAATGCTTGAGGCCAATCCTTGTTCTACTCCCATGGCCTTTGGTACTAAATTGTTTCCTGAAGATAGTCCACTGTTTGACAATCCTAGTCTATTTCGAAGCACTGTAGGAGCTTTGCAATATTTGCTTCTTACTAGACCTGATATTAGTTTTTCAGTCAATAAACTCAGTCAATTCCTTCAAGCTCCCACTGACCTGCAATGGCAAGCATATAAGAGGATTTTAAGGTATCTTAAAGGTACTATCAGCCATGGTTTGCTCTTTAGACTAGCAGCTAGTTTAAACATAGAATGTTATGCTGATGCAGATTGGGGTAGTAGTATTGCAGATAGGAAATCCACCAGTGGATATTATGTATTTTTGGGGCCTAATTTGATTTAATGGAGCTATAAAAAATAGAGAGTGGTTGCCTTGTCATCCACTGAAATAGAATATAGGGCATTGGCACAAACAGCTACTGACGTAGCTTGGTTACAAAGTTTATTTTCTGAATTGGGTCTAACATTTGACAAACCTCCAGTTGTTTGGTGTGATAATGTTAGTACAGGGGCCTTGGCAGCAGATCCATTTTTTCATGCTCGGACAAAGCATATTGAGATTGATGCGTGATAATCCGAGAATTATACTGTTTTTATTAGGCTTTTAGGCTGGATTTTAGATACTTTTTAGTTCATTTATGCTTGAATTGCTACTTATTTCTTTACATTTTGTGTTTCAAGCTAAAATGGACATTTTGAGCAAATAATGAGCGAATTGGAGTTTCTGGACTCATAAGTAAGCGGATCTCAGAATTTGGGAGAGTTCTGAAGCAGAGTGAAGCACTATGAAGCTTGTTCCCATGGGAGAGCAACGAAGATCGAAGATTCAAGCAAAGAAGCAAGCAGAGGGCAATTCTATAATTTCAGAATTCTTCATGGAGGTTCGCCGTGGCAAAGTTTGTTCTTCGCCGCGGCGAAATGAGTCACGCACGAGAATCCCTTTCACTTCGTCTCCGCGGCGAAGTCTGCAGTTTTCAGTTTCTTTAAAACACACAGTTTCAATTTTAGGCAAAGTTTTAGGTTTTTGGGCGAGGTATAAAAGCGAAACTTTACCATTTTGAGAGGGTCGTGTTTTCCTTAGTCTAGAACAGTTTTTTCATCTTCTTAGTTTTAGATTGGACGAATTTGTGTTGAAAAAGTGAGAAGAATTGAGATTAACTCCGGTGGATTCTGTAACTAGGGGAGATCTCTTGTCTTTTCTCTCATTTTGTCATGTTGAACTTTGTGTTTATCGTTTTTCTTGCTTATTGTATTGATTTAGCTATGAACTAACCTATTGTCGGTTAGGGTTTTGATGTAGTTCAGATTCTCATGGATTAAGCAATTGATTTTTATTATTTTCATATGCTATTGCAATGATTGTGGGATTATTCTGTTTTTAATGCTATTAATTGATGAACATGATGAGATTGAGAAATTAGTCATGTTAAGCTTCTTGGGTAATCACCATTGTAGTATTAAATGCTAGAGATAGATTTAAGAATCAATGAAATCAATCTAGGATTCTAGGTGCTTAATGAGCTTAGAACTATTAATCTTAAATTTGTTGGTTTCGGAAGTTTAATAAGGAAAGGTAGGAAAACATAGCCTGAGAAGGTATGTTTACAATTTAGAGAATTCGATTTACAATCAATGCATGTGAATATGGAAACAGCATAATCTGTAGGTTTAATCTATAGAGTCTGAATGAAATCAAAACCCTACCTGTTGTTTTAAATTGATATTACCTTGTTTTTAATTTTGCTTTCATAATTTAGCTTTGAATAGTTTGAAATTTTGTTTTAGTTTTAAGTTTAATTTTCTCCCTTTAATCCAAACAACTCGATTGCTCCAACTTGAAAACAGTAGAAAACTTAGTGCTTAGCAACCAATCCTCGTGGGAACGATACTCACTCATCACTTTATTACTTTGTGCGACTAGTGCACTTGCTATTTATGCATGTTGTAGTAACAATGCATCAATGCGCATTATATCCGTGAACAAGTTCTAGCCAAGAAACTTGTAGTTCAATATGTTCCCTGCAAGTTACAAATTGCAGATATTTTAACAAAAGCTTTGTCCATTTCTCAATTTCTTACTTTAAAGCAGAAATTGAATGTTGTTGATCAAGGTACAAGCACCATTGGTTGATTAAGTTGCTTTGACTGAGTGATTTTGGGTTGGTAGTTATGAAGATGAAGATTGTTGGTGTTGAGTTCTTGAGCTGTGAAAGTTGCTATTGCAATTATAATTTTGCTATGCAGTCGAAATTTTGCAATTGTTTTGGTTGAGTATTTTTTTGTAGTCAATTGAGAAATTGCAGTTTTTTTGTGTTTTGTGAAGAAATATGTCGATTGAGCAGATGTGAAGCAGTTTAAACGTGTAGATGTCAAGTTGAAAAATGTACACCTGTATGAAAATGCAGCTGTGAAGTTGTAAGACTGAGACATTACAAAATGTTATTGATCAAGGTACAAGCAACATTAGTTGATCAGGTTGTTTTTGGTCAAGTAATTTTGAAGATGAAGGTTGGTAGTTCTGAAGATGAAGATTGCTTGTGTTAAGTTGACTTGCTGTGAAAGTTGCAGTTGCAATTATAACTTTTGCTGTGCAGTTGAAGTTTTGCAGTTACTTTGGTTAAGTAATTTTTTTGGCTTATTAAGTTGTTGCTGAAATTTCATTTGTGAAGAAATCTGCAGTTGAGCAGATGTGAAGCTATATAACAGTGTAAATGTCAAGCTGTGAAATGAAAAGCTATATGAAAGGGCAGAAGTGAAGCTGTGAAAATGAGAAATTGCGATTTGTTGTTGAAATTGCAGGAAAAAAAATTGCAGATTGTTGTTGAGAAGTTTGTTGTTGAAATTGCAGAGAAATTGCAGATTGTTGTTGAACAGATGTTAAACAACAATCTGCAATTTTGAAAAAGTGCTGCTGTGAAGTTTTGAAATTGTGTGAAACTGTGAAATCACAGTTGTGCTGTTGTGAAGCAGAAATTGGCAAGTGATTGGCAAGTTAATCTCAATTGACTTGTAGCTGAGCAGATGTGAAAGTTGTATGAAAGTGCAGAAGTGAAGCTGTGAAAATAAGAAACTGTATGAAAGTGCAGTTTGCAAATAACTGATCATCTTGTTATGAGGTGTTGGTCTTAGTGGCAAGTTCTATTTGACAGGGGCTGTTAAGACACATTTTATCAAGATGAAAGATGAAACGGTAAATGCAGTTTAGCTTGACTGGGGCTGTTAGACAAACAGTATTTGTCCAAGCTGAAACTGCAAGTAGAGAGTAGAGTTTAGCTTGACTGGGGCTGTTAGACAAACGGTGACGTTTAAGAAAGGTTAAAGTGTTGTCGTTTTTTTGTTGAAATAATCAGCTATTAAAGCTGACTTGTAACACTGTTCACTTAATCGAAATATTAAGAAAAGTTCTAATCCTTCTTTTCTCTCTGTTTTTTGCTCTCAAATCACTAACCTTCACAGTGGCGGAGAGAGATAGAGGGTGTTGCTTGGGTTGTGCGGGAAGGAGGGTTCTGGGCATAGAAGGGAAGTCATTGGGCGTGGCAAGGAAGAAGGGCATTAAGGTCATTCACCTTCTATCCGTTAAAACTAAGAAGACTGACAAACTACAGGGGTTTCTTAGTTATTAGCGCATAAACATATAGTAGCTCACTTTGTATTTAAGAGACAAAAACATTGGACAAGTTGAATGTGAGTAAAAACTAATTAATTATTCTGTACAGTTGCCGCTTGGCACTTCCTACTTATAACAGTGCTAGCTAGCTAGAAACTAATTGAAGAAGAATTTTCTAATTTATTCATTTTTCATGGTTATTAAATTTAAAACGGCTTTCGGATGTGCGGTGTGGCGGTGCATGAACTTAGCTTTCCTATATAAGAGTATGATCGCATTAGGAAAAACTCACATTTACAGATAAAAACTGCGATTAATTGAAAGGAAAATATGTCTTCTACTCAGGTTTTAGCAGCTGCAACTTCACCACCAAAACCCATTCGTCCCATTGCTAATTTCCATCCCACGATATGGGGAGACCAGTTCCTCAAAGATGATTCTGAATTCAAGGTAAAGAAACGCATCATATATAAGATTCATTTTCTGCGTGTAAAGAAATCTCACTCATGAAGAAGTTTACAGTATTAATATAGAAAATTCTCAGGTGTGAGAAAAAAACAAAAACTAACTGCTAATATGATCCTCTATGATTTAATATACTAGTAAGTGTTATATAGTACCACCTAAAAACAATTAAATATGTATATAAGTATATATATATACATTCTATAGAAATATATTTTATCTGTACGTGCATTCATTATTTTTTTTTTAAATGTATTTGTAAACCTTAATACAACGAATTCACATGCAACATAACTAAACTTTTGATTCTCTCGGTTACGTAGATACATGTAAACAAGAGTATGCATGCAATTACTAAGTGGATTGAAATATATATATATAGGGATAAATTGAAATTTATTTACATGCATAGCCGTACGGTGGCTGGCAACATTAATTTATCTTTTTTAGTTATTGCAACTTTAATTTTGATATAAGACTGTTACACTTTTAATGTATAATTATGATAATTATATATATATATATATATATATTTAATTTTAATATTTTTGCAGAAAATTGATCCTACAACTCAAGAAGAATATGAGCAACTAAAAGAATATGTAAAGAGGATGATAATGAATACTACAGATGCACCAGTACAGAAATTGAACTTGATTGATACATTACAAAAATATGTTTGGCTTATAACTTTGAATAAGAGATAGAAGATGCTTTGCAAAAAATTTATAATGATTGTGAGATTGATCATTAGAATGATCTCCACACTGTTTCAGTGTATTTTCGACTTCTTCTAAGGTTTCCTGTGGTAAGTCAACTATGTCAATATATTCATAATACTCACTCATGAAATTAATGAAATATAAGATATCTAATTGAAGGTCGTTGTTGTGAGCAGCTGTATTTGAAAAGTTAAGGATGATGATAGGAAATTCAAGTCATCCTTGATTAATGATGTTCAAGGAATTCTAAATTTGCATGAGGCAGCACACTTTGCTATTCACAGCGAAGATATTCGGATGAAGCCCTCGCTTTTACAGCCACCCAGCTTAAGTCAATGGCATCTCGTGTAAGCCGTCACCTGGCAGAAAGAATAAATCATACTTTGAAATTTCCTATCCGCAGAGCGTACCAAGGTATGAGGCAAGATTTTTCTTGTCCACTATGCAAGACATAATTTCACAATAAAACTTTGCTAAATTTGCGAAGTTGGACTATAACATACTACAAGTGAGGACCAGAAGCAACTCAGTGACATCTTAAGTAAGTTCATATTTTCAATTACATCACAAATTGATTTACAACTTTATTTTTATTTATTAGTATATTTTTCAAGGTTGTTCACACCCACCCCCCCGCCAAAAAAAAAAAAAAAACTAAACTAAAATGAAAAGTTTTAGAATATTAGTGAAGTTATCAACAATCATAATCGTATATATGGTGAAAAACGAGTTATATATTTTTCCCTGTTCATTAATTTTATATTAATTGCCTATACTAACTTGTAAAGAGGAAGCCTTTTTTTTTTTTTTTTTTTTTTTTTCAGTTTTTGTAATTACGGTAATACGATATTGGTTATGATATAAATGAAGCTGTATAATTTCAGGTGCCGGAAAAATATAGAATTGATTACAAAGCTGCCATATATTAGAGACCGAATGGTGGAAGAATATTTTTGGATCTTGGGAATGATCTTTGAGCCACAGTACGCTGATGGCATAAAGAAAATGACGAAAGTTTTTTGTCTTCAAATTGTCTTGGATTATACGTACGATTCCTATGGTACCCTTGAAGAACTTACACTTTTAACAGAGCAATCAGAAGGTTAATTAAAGACATATTGCATACAGCTTAAAGTGAACCGTCTGAATTTCATAATAGATTTAGAAATTTTATATTTATAATCATTTTAATTTTCAAATTCTGGCTTCAATTTTCATAAGGAATGTGAATGGTTAGTTGACTTTCAGATGGGACATTGGCGCCATAGATATGCTTCCAGATTACATGAAATTTATTTATAAGTCACTCTTAGATTTTTTCGCTGAAATGGAGGAAGATATGAGTAAGGAAGGAAGAGCATACTGCGTAGATTGTCCAAAAATGATGGTAGGTAATATATATTAATCATTGCCCTTCGTGTGGTTTTACGCATAACATGAATAAATTTTCTCAGATTTGAACTTTAAAATGGGTACAGTAACAGCTATAATAGACAACAAAAATTGTCTTGCTGTAAGAAAAATTATCTACCTCTATTCATTGAAAGGACATGATTAGAATGTCACTTTATATTTAAATTTTGTTTTTACTTTCTTGGGTAAGGTTATTAATATCGAGTTTGATTATATTGTCCTTAGCTGCAAAGAGTGGTCGAAGCATATTTTGCTGAAGCCATATGGTTCAATAAAGGGCATTTTCCAAGTACATTTGATGAATATATGACAGTTGCACTGGAAACTGGTAGCTGCCGATTGACGATAGCGATGATCTTCTTAGCCATGTGTGCAACTAAAGAGGATTTTGATTGGTTTTGCTGTGATCATAAGATTATAAGAGCAGCAGATCGTATCGCCAGACTCTTGGATGACAAAGCGTCTCACAGGGTATGAATATGAATAATAAAAAATGCTCAATAATTAATTGTTTATGTTTACCAAATTAAGTTATATATTTTGGATAATATTTCACATTAATTATCTAACAGTGTTCATATATTATATATGAATTAGTTTGAGCAAAAGAGAGGACATGTTCCCTCAGCTGTTGAATGCTACATGAAGCAGCATGGCGTTTCTGAAGATGTGGCTGTTGAGTTTCTTCTTAAACAAGTTGCGGACGCTTGAAAGATGTGAATGAGGCCATGCTCAAACCAACTGCTGTGCCACTGCCTCAACTTGAAGGGATTCTCAATTTTTGTCGCACAATGGAATTTATGTACAAGGATGATCGTGATATTGATGCCTTTAGTGATGCCACCAAAGTTAAAGATCATGTTGCCTCATTGCACAGGGACCCAATACTTTGAAGTCTCTACTTCTATTACTGTTAATGTGAATAAAGCTGGTAAACTTTAGTCCGGAATAAAAATAAACTCTTCCCATCCCTTTTCGAATGGAGTAAGAGCATCTTAAGTTGTGCTGTATTAGATATTATTGAATATTATAATATGATATTATATTTTATTTCAATAATATGTCTCTATAAATAAATGGATTTGGACAATATTATTTTTTTGGGTATGTATATATTTCCACATGAATATGTTAAGAATTCAGAAGTGTAATATGAAATCGAACTATATACAGTATGTGTGTGATTTGAATTTAAAAGTTAAAATGTAAAATAAAACAAATTGTATATATGTGGATCCTCAGTTTATCTATTTTTTTCATAATTTTTTTATCCAAAAACACATAACAGTTCCATAATCTAACTGCTAATATTAATTTTTTTTTTTTTCTTTTACCATCAAAACATATTGTTTTAATTTTTATAGTATTTTAATTACGAGTAAAAATGTTGTTTTCGTGTATACAAACTTTACATGGATGACGGTTTTTTCTCTTCTTTTGGACACACCATTCCATACACTTAACTGAATTAAAGAAAAGAATTTGATAAATTATACTCCTATAAAAATCAAAATCAAAGAAACATAGTTGAACTAAAAAACATGTTCACAAATTTATACTCTAATAAAAATCAAAAGCCAAGAAGTATAGTGATCTTAAATCCATACAAAACAAAAAGTTCTATTTATTTTGGATTGATCTGAAAAAGTTGGCCTGAAATTAGAGCGTGTACAAACACTATTACACAAAACAGAGTTACAATTGCATTAGAACCAGAGAGATTTTTTTATTTTTTAAATCTTTTCTGATATATATGTTATAATAATGATAAATGAGTTTTACTTAAAAAAAAAATTAAACTAATGTTTAAGGAGAAATTATTTAGAAAATAGTAATACTACATCATGAAGTTTAGGTTTTTTTTTTTTTTTTTTTTTTTAAATCTTTAATAGAAACTTCTATTGAATGTTGCATGATTACCATACAGTACTATCTAATCGAATTCCTTTTAATTTTCACGATCATAACAATATTTAATCAGGAATTCATGAAAAAAAATTAATTAATTTTCGATCATAGGAGTTTTAGAAATGCGTGTAAGGAAATTAATTAATTTAGAAGGAAATTTTGGACTCGGGAGTTGAGAAGACGTTTTACTTGTTCAAACTTTTGATTGAATAATATTTTAATCATCAATAATACTATACTTACAAAGAAATTTTACAAAGATTTCCATACAAAGTGAGGTGACAAAAAATGAATAGAAGAGTGAAACAAAAAGTCAAACTTATTAAATTCACTATTCCATTCATTTTTTGTCATATCACTTTATATGGAGATTTTTGTAAAATTTCTTTGTAAGTGTAGTATTACTCTTTGATCATTCAAAGTTACAATTGACATCTATAATGTTGACGTCTTGGCCATGGCCAGGTGCAATATTTCATTATTGCAGTCATCGGTCATGACATAGTGTTTATATTATTTTTCTTGTTATATTAATTTGGGATGCCTTGTCACGGATCCTACATCGGAAGTGCATTGGAGAGGTCTTAGGCTTATAAGACGGGAGTCTCTCCACCTAATGGGTTAACCTTTTAGGTGTGAAACTTCTAGCCCATGACAGTGGTATTAGAGTAGATCTGATCCGTCTTTAGGTGTCTTGTCAAGTGTCCACACAGAGGGACCTCGTGTGATAGTGGGTTCACTCGAGAGTGAGATAACTAGTAGACAAGGAGAATGAGCGGTGTCCTTAAAGGTAAGTAAATCTGCAAATGTTCTCCACATTTGGGAAAACTCACAAGTACAAGTGAAGGAAATGATTCAAAAAATGTAAACAATTTCCCCAAAAGTGAGACACTTAGGAATGTTACCCTCCCCACCTTAGACGTAGATGGTGAAAAAAACGCTGAGACAAAATTTCACAATTTCCCCACAATCGTGATTTCTTACAAGCCAAATATCGGAATGCCGAAAGGAATAGGGTGCCTTGTCGGTTTCCAAAAAATCTAGGCACAGTTTCTCTAGAGACATAGCGACATTATCTTCCCACCTTAGCAGATGATTAATGATGAAGAAAATGCTAGGAAAGAAATCCAAGATTTCCGCACAATTGAGGTTTCTTATGGATAAAAAATTGGAAAATTCAAAAGGAATAGGATGCTATGCCGATTTATGAAATATTTGGGCACAATTTCTAGGGACACTCAGACACGTTGTCTTTCCTATAAAGAAAAGCAAAGCAGTTGAGAAAAGAGAAATGTCATGTGACAGAGGATTTAGTGAGTTGAAAATTGAGTCTATTCTTCTCATTAATTGAAGAGAAAACTGAAACAGATTATATATATACAAAGCAGCTTTACTCTTTTGTTTTGCTGCTAAAACTGCACTTAGTAAGAAGAAAACAAAAATGACAGCGTATTGGACTTAAGTGTAAACAGCCAAACGGAAGCTTATTCTAAAGAAGCTGCATTTTCCTTTTGACTCTCATTGGTCAACATTCCCCCTCAAACCAGACCACATAGGAGTCAAGGAAGGTTTTCTGTGTCATTTAAGCCCTACTTCTGCAACATTTTCACCACAAGTGCTATTTCTGCTTCTCCAACATTTCTTAAACAAATTGACAACAATTCTCATAGTACCTTCAAAAGACTTAAAAAACCAAGAAACAGTCCATCTACATAATACTCTGCAAATTTCTACATCATTTTACATAACACTCTGCAAACTTTCATAATTTCTTCTGCAAACTTTCACAATTTCCTCAAGAAACGAATGACCAATTTCTGAATTGCAAACAAATTTACTATCAACATTTCTGAGATAATTTCACCGTAACAATTCTTATTTGGTTATTCAATCTAACTGTCAACACAATAATCTTTAAGAACTTTTGCCTGCAAACAACTTTACTATCAACATTTCTGAGACAACTTCACTGTAAACAATTCTTATTCATTTATTCAATCTAACTGTCAACACAGTAATCTTTAAGAACTTTTGCATTCAATCCAACTATCAACACAATAGCCTCTCCATTCAATCCAACTACCAACACAGTAACCTTTGCATTTAGACCAACTACCAATCATAACATCTTCTACATTTAGACTAACTACCAACATAACATCTTCTGCATTCTTCCACAACAGATCACAATGCATATGAAAGGATAGTTTATACACCAGTTCACAAACTATGAATTTTCAACCCAAATTAACTACCAACACAGTAGCTCCTGCATGATTTCACAACTCAGCAACACACACAACAAAGTAGTTCTGCACCATTTCATAATTCAGCAACACACACAACAAAAGAGTTATGCACCACAACTCAGCAATACACACAACAGAGCAGCTCATAGCAGCTCATCTCAGTAATCATCAAATGCAATTTTTTAAACAATTCTGCACCACATCTCAGCAACAAACACAACAGAGCAGTTCTACAGGATTTCATAATTCAGCAACACACACAACAAAACAGTTCTGCACTACAACTCAGCAATACACACAATAGAGCAGTTCATCTCAGTAATCATCAAATGTAGTTTTCACCAGAATGAGTTACATTCAGTTTGGCTCTTAGTTCAGTAAAATGAGCAGCTGATAATGCTTTCGTAAGAACATCAGCTATTTGTAACTTGGATGGGACATACTGAATTGCTACCTTTTTTGCTAATACTTGCTCTCTAATATATTGAGCATCAATCTCAATGTGTTTGGTTCTGGCATGAAACACAGGATTTGATGCAAGCGGTCCAGCACTAACATTGTCACACCAAATGACTGGAACAGTGTGAAAATTCAGTCCTAGTTCATGAAACATACTTTCCAACCAGCATACTTCTGTTGCTGTATGAACTAAAGCCCTATATTCAGCTTCGGTAGAGGAGAGTGCAACAACCTTTTGTTTCCTAAAGCTCCATTGTATCAAGTTTGGTCCTAGGTAGACACAATATCCACTTGTGGACCTTCTATCTTCAAGATTTCCACCCCAATCAACATCTGCATAACACTCTATATGTAGTGCATTTGCTGGTTTGAACAATAGTCCATAGTCTATAGTTCCTTTGATGTACCTTAAAACGCTTTTGCAAGCTTGCCATTGAAATTCACTGGAGCCTGTAAAAACTGACTCAACTTGTTCACAGTAAAGCTGATGTTGGGTCTAGTAAGCGTTAAATATTGGAGTGCTCCTACAGTGCTTCTATATAGGTTGGGGTTTTGGAATAGTTCATTGTCATTAGAACTCAATTTAACTCCAACAGTCTTGGGTGTAGGACAAGAATGTGCTTCCATCATTTTGGTTTTGATGAGAAGATCTGAAACATACTTGGACTGTTTGAGATGAAGACCAGCCTGTGTTCTTGTTGCTTCCAGCCCGAGAAAATACTTAAGTGACCCAAGAGTTTTTAGAGCAAAATCATCATTAAGATTTCTCACAAGTTGCTCATAAATTCTCCATCTGAACTAGTAATCAATATATCATCGACATACACCAGAATATAAGTAGAACCTGAATTCTATTGGAGGCTAAATAAGCTTGAATCTGAAACTGAATTTTTGAATCCTTTAAGTTGAAGAGTTGTTTTCAACTTATCAAATCAGGCTCTTGGGACTTGCTTAAGGCCATAAAGTGCCTTATTAATTTTTGCAAACAACATGTGGAAAAGGATTGGTCCTCAAATCCAGGAGGTTGCTTCATATACACAGTTTTAGTTAACACCCCATTCAAAAACGTATTGTTGACATCAATTTGCTGCACAT